CAAAAGAATAAAAATGATAAGTTTTTTTTTCTCTTTCTAATAACTTTGACAATTAATTCCAAAAATTTAATAACTAATTCTATTGTTAAAATATGATTATTCCAACAACAATTAATAATATATATTAGACATTGTCTTCTTTTTTTATTTTGATACTGACAAAAAATATAATTCCAAATGAAAATGTTATTAAAATTTTTTAATGGTTTGGAAAATATATATATTATTTATTGAACCCAACAATATACTATATTAAAAATCTAAGATTTTAAAATTTTTTCTCTAAATTTAATAACAAATTAGTGCAATTAAAACTCCTGTGAATTGAGAAAAATTCTTTTAATTTTTCTTATTCCTTCCAGACTGTAATCATGATGACAAAAACATAATTCATTTCACCAATGAATCGATTTGAAAGATAAAAACATAGCAAAACAATCAAAAGAAACACAAGAATACAATCAAGCAACAAATATTTTTTTTTTACGATTCAAAGTTCTAACGAAATAAACATAGAAACGCAATCCAACATTTCTGTTGAGATGATGCATATCAATAAATTTCTTTACGAACGTGTTTGATGCAAGAAAAAAAAAACCAAACATATTTTTGAACTTTACTTTACACTAGAGTTTAACCCACGCCAAGCGTGGACTATGTTTTCTAATCGATTTTAATATTTAGACGTGGATTCTAATATTTATAAACGTACAAAAATGATATTATTATACATAACTGTAATAAATTTAAATTTTGATCAAGCATATTTTGATCCCGCGTTTGATTTGGGTAAAAAAATCTAGTAGTTATTGAAAAAAAAAATACTCTCAAATATTTTCTATATTCTTTAAATAAAATCATTCATATTAATGATTACATATCCATTATTTCCATATATTTATCATTAAAATTTTTAATAATTTTTATTAAGAGTTCTTTGAAATCTTCTTTAGATGACACCTAGGATTGTCACCTAATGTCTCATCTATTAATATATAGAGGATTTGTATTATCTCACATAATATATGTCTCCTACAAATTTATGTCAATTCATGCACAAATTTATATTAATGAACAATATTCTTACATGTAACATTGTATCAATAATTTATTACAAATGTTTAGTCTTCGAATCTAAA